GTCCCTGGAGCCCCCAGGCCGGCCCCACGGGAAGTCGTTTCTTCTGTCTTTTCTTTCTTGTTTCCTTTTTTCGCCGTGGATGGCTATTTTTCGTTCAGGTTATTTCAGGCCTGAGCTTCATATAGGAACGGTTTACACCCGCTCAGGCTGTAAATAGCTGTAGAGAGAAATCGGGAGTTTATGGTTTTAAAGCCTGAGTAAACAAACAGGGTTTTCTCTTCCACGTTTTCTGCAGCTCGAACCCGTCATTATTAACTTGAGTAAGTGACCTCCTCGCTTCTGCCTTAGTATAAGAAACAAGGCCCAGGAGCCCACTCAGGAGAGAAGCCCTCGCCCCGGCACGTTCGTGCGGGGGTTCTCCCAGGCTCCCCTCCAAAGGGCGCCTTGTCTCTGGAGAGCCTGACCGCTGCAGCTGTTCGCCCCCAGGGAGCTGGGGAGGGGGCACCCAGGGTGGGCCTGGCAGAGGCCTCCAGGCAGGGAGTGGAGTCCCACCGAGCTTGTGCCTGTCACCAAGATCTTCCCCAGACAGGAGACAAGGACCTATAGGAGCAGGAACAGGCAGGCCCACCACACACACAGTACCCGAGCTCAAGGCCACTTCCTGCTGGGTTAAGACTGTAGATGCTTCACTGGACCTCCCTCCCTCCCTCCCTTCTCCCTGCCCCCGGTGGTGCTGGGGATGAACCCAGGACCTTGTTCCTGCTCTTCCCCCAAGCTCCAACCCCAGACACCAACCAGCCTTTCATTTCTTTGAACAAATGCACACCTGACAGGCAGCTTAGCCAGCTCTAATTAGACGTCAGTGACTCGGAGACTGCATTAGGCTGTAAACTTTCAGCTTCCTCCTCCATGAAATACAGAAAATGGCACCTACTTCCTGACCCTGTGGATTTTTGTAGTCCACCTCCCCGACCTCTATCCTCTGTCATTGAGAACCCTAACCTGGAGGAAGCCCTATTTCCTGTTGCTGGGATGGGCGTCCACATGGCCCTGTGTGTGTGTGTGTGTGTGTGTGTGTGTGTGTTGGGACAGGCTCTAAATTGCCCAGTCTTGCCCCAGACTCGCAGTCCTGCCTCAGCATCCCCAGTAGCTGGGACACCAGGCAGGTGCCCTTGCTCCTGGCCACATGCGACCCACCCAGCAAACCTGGGACCACACCTTTGCGCTGGCACCCTAGGCTGCCCCAGCCCCACTTGGTTTCTATCTTCTCCCCTTGCTCCTGCTGCAGCCCCTCCACCAGTTCCCTGCCAGGCATCCTCCTCTCCCTTGGCCCCTCACTCCATTGCCCCACTGCCCTCCTGCCCATCATCTGCCCTCTGGGTCAGCGTTTTCCCTGGCTCCCAAGCTCCTCCCCTCCTCAGAGACCCATCTGCACCTGCTTCCCTCTCCCTCGTGAAGTGCCTCACCTCTGCTTGCTTACTGGGGTCACCCACAAATCCTGTGGGCCCCCCCTTGGTGGCACCAAGCCTCTCAGCAACACCTGAGTAGGCTGCCAGCAACTCCCTCCCTCTGGTCCCCAAGACCCCAGTCCCCCCTCCATTCCTGCCCCTCCACACACCTCTTGCCCCGGCTCCTTCACAGTCTCCACCGTTTCTGTTGTAGTCAGCAAGGGAATACATTAAATACAGGACACATAACTTACAAGGTTATTTTATGATAATTACCCAAAGAGTCAAATCCAAAGGAATGCAAGAGATTAACCACACACTAGAAGCCCAGAGGAGTCACCTGAGGGCCTGGATCCCAGCAGTTTCCCACACAAGTCCAGCTGAAGGCCTAGAGTCCAAGGCAATGTCCTCAAGTCCAGCCAGTGGCCTAGAGCCCATGGCAATGTCTCATGCTTGCGCGTATTGAGGCTCTGCACCTGGAAAGCTCAAAGGCCAGTGGTGGAAGCCAGGAAATCTATGATGGTGAGATGAAGGATTTCTGCCACCAAGCTGAAGGACCCACAGTGGAGCCAGGAAGTGATGCTCACGGTGAAGATCAGAGCTCCCCTGATGAGAACAGCAGCCATTCCCAGCGACAGTGAGGCCCCAAGCTCCTCCGATGAGAACATCCTAGTTTGCATCAGGAAAACCATCCGCAGCAAGCTTCTCCTAGCAAATCAACAGGGCATGATCTTCCCCTCCAGTTCTCTTTTTATGAATATTGTTAACAATCTTCAGGTGGATGCTCTACAGTGAGACCACGCTAATTCAGTTCAGCTGGGCAATACAAGTTGACCATTAGTCAATCCACCACACCCTCCTTCCACCCTGCAGTTGCTGGGTTCCTGCTCTGCCTTTACTCCTCTGTGCTGGGGGCATAGTTGTTGGGTGAGGAAAGGTTGGGCAGGTGGGTAAATGGGCAGGGATAAGTGCGCGGATGGGTGGATAGGTGGATGGACAGGTGGGTGGGTTAGGTAGGTGGATGAGTGGACAGGTGGGTAGGTGAATGGATGCATAACAGGGAATATAGGCTGCTGTGGGTGCTCAGCAGGGCCCCCTGGGGGAGGGTCTCTAGAACAAGTGAGGTCTAACAGCGGAGACACTGAACGCACTGTATAGGGAGGACGGACGGCTGGTCAGCCCAGCATCCTTCCAGAAGAAACACCCAGCCCCCTTCCTGGTGGCCAACTTCAAGGTCCTTGTTCCTGACCAGCTCACACCCCAGGCCCCTCTTCGGGGAGTGAGTCAGGCGTGGGCACTCGGCCCATACAGGCTTATTAAGGCTCTTTGGAGAACTCAGCAAAGTCCCTCCTGCTTCCGAGCTCAGGAGCTAGGAGTGGGAGAGCCTAGGGCCCCCAGAGCAGTACAGAGCACACTAGGCTTTCAGGCTCGAGGAGCCGGTGGAGGAGGAGGTCAGCTGGGAAGCAGAAGACTGGGGCCACCCCACCTCTTGCCCTCCCTGGATCAGGCCTGAGACCCTGGCCTCCAATCAGGTGCTTTGCGTTTCTGTGGGTACCGAAGAGTCCCAGGTGACACAGATGACTCAAGCCAGGGCCAGAGCCAGCAGGCGGGGGAGACAGCCTCTGGGGCCCAGTGGTAGCCGGGACCTGGGTGGTCAGGTGAATGGGCACTCTACCACTGAGCTGCAGCCCCAGCCATTTTTACTCTTTTTTTTTTTTTTTTTTTTTTTTTGGTATCAGGGATCGAACTTGGGTCCTTTTGCTTGCAGAGCAGGCGGCGGAACCACTGAACTAAATCCCCAGCCCTTCCCGGCCATTTTAAAAAATTGTTTATACAATTTTTGTGTCAGTACTGGACACAACCCAGGGCCTTCACACTGCGTTACAGCCCTGGGCCTTTTTTTTGAGGTTAGACCTGTATTGGAAATAAAGAGAAGGAAAAAAAGCTCCCGGTTTGTCCAGGATGGAAATCCAGAAAGTGGAATTTCCACGTGACCCTAGGTCCGGAACGTCTCGTGGATAAGTGGAGCGCAGGAACTGCTTGGTGGCTTAGTGGCACCTATCCCAGGGGCTCTGTGGGTTTACAGTGACCAAGTGGAGCACAGGTCCCTAACCCAGGTGCTCGGCATGTAGCCCTTTTTATTTCAAGACAGTCCAGCTAAATTGCTAAGTTGCCCGTGCAAGGCTCAAACTCACCATCCTCCTGCCTCGCTCCCCTGCAAGTGGCCAGGATTATAGGTGTGTGTGCCACAATAGCTCCACTGTGTACCTGCTTCTGCCCTTCGTACTGAGATGGCCTCTTAACAATCCCAGTGGTAGATACAGGCATCCAGCATCCCAGCTTGTACATAAGGAAACCAAGGCACCCAGAGGTGGCACTAGAGGTGGCCTGACCTGCTTGGAGTCTCGCACTTGGTGAGGGGAGCAGGGCACATCCAGCCACAGGCTCATGTCACCTCCTGCTCCACCCAGAGCCGCCCTGGGAATGCTGGGAACATGGGAGGCGAGGATGTGCACAAAGACCTTGTCTGGTTCTAAGCGTAGAATGTTAATTTGTATTACTCTCATTATTATTACGATTATTTTAGATAGCTTGTTAGGAAATTCACAGAACCAGGCATGGTGGTGCAGGCCTGTAATCCTAGTACTCAGGAAGGCTGAGGCAGGAGGATCCCAAATCCCATTCCAGCCTGGGCAACTTGGCAACT